CATTGGATGGGAAGATGGTTTGTTGCATTGATTGAGGGCTTGCCATTTCTTTTTATTGGAAAGGCTCATTCCAATTTTATATACAGTATATTTAATACTGCAATTTGTATATACAGTACTTTATACAATTATCGCTTCTCGATATATATATATATATATATATATATACATATATATAGATATATTGGTTTGTTTGCATTGGCTGGGAAGATCGGACTTTCATTTTTATCCCTCAGTTCCCCCTTCTCTGAATTGTTTGGATTAATTGGGAAGAAGTGTCTTTTGTTTTGATCTCTCTCTTACTCATTTGTTGTTTGCACTCATTTGGAAGATGAATTTTCTTTTTTGATGACTTTTGGATCCATTATCAAGAAAAATTATTGCTTAAATCATTCTGTGGTTTCAGATTTGGTCATGCGTGTTCAAGGGCAGCCAAAACTCCCGCAAACCACAAATTGAAATAAGTGCAGTTTGTGAAATTCCCGTAGATGTATTTTGAAAAAAATGCAAATTTGTTTTCATGGTGCAGCCAAACAAGGGGTTAACTTTGAGCGTGTTCTGATGATCCCCATGGAGATTACAGGCCACTTGTCCCAAATTTTTACTTTTCTTTCTTCTTTCTTTGTAGGTTTATTTTCTTGTTGTGAATCAATCTTTCATCCTGTTATTATTTTCTATATTATTTGTTGTCAACATACTATGTTACATTATAGGAGGTGAGGTAGCCGATGATGATGATGAGGTAGCAGATGATGATGTTTCAACTTGGAGCAAAGATTGTTCAACTGTTCTGAGGGTTAAGAAGTTACACATCAATTCCGCAATATTGGCTCTGAAAAGCCCTTTCTTTCACAAGGTAAGACCGGTTTATGCTTTGAGCTGCTTATTATTATGACTTTTAGCTATTAATGAGATCAACAATTTGACACTTGTTTTTTGAAGCTTTTCTCAAATGGCATGCATGAATCAGATCAGAGAGATGTCAAGCTACGGATCAGTGCTTCAGGTAAGTTTTAAAAAAATACAAACCTTTCCCATGCGTAATGGGAAAGGCATCGCTTTCATGTAAGCATGCAATATGTTTGTATTCTGACCTAGATGTTGTTGTCTCAGATTTTGTTTTCTGTTTATGTTGTGGTAGTTTCAGATTAACTGTTGTCAACTATACTCAACATCTGTTTGGCATATTGTTGAAGAGATGTCTGGGGTAGTATTGGAATTTTGCAGTTTATAAAATAAAGCAAGTTCATGCATTTATTTACTTACTCTTTCCGAAAGGAAATTAGGAACGATAAACATTTCAAGTTGACTAGCCAAGGGGTCGACTGCCAAGGTTTTAAACAAACAATCAATTATATATATATATGGAAGATGCTACGGTAAGCCGCCGGGTGTACCTATAAGAATACGCCCAACAATCTGGGCCGATCTGACGGTCACGAGATGGCCACAACCTCATTTCGTGTTTGAATTTTAATTTTTTTTCTACAAATCCAAATCACTTGAAATTTTAGGCATGTGTTCTTTTCATCAAGGTGCACCTAATAAAAATATCACAAAAATAATATATATGGGTGATTTGCTTGAATCTATGGCGTAATTTATAAAGTCCGAGTATTCCTAACAATTTAATGTAAATGAAAAGGCACGTAGCATGCACAACAAAAGCAACAATTTTATATAGGAATTGGCAAGAACGATTCTGAATGGATTAAACCGAATGTTACAAAGATTAGAGCGGATTCCTCACAAGCCTTTTGATGTCCAAAATTTTATGCAAATTCAAACAATACCTTAAAACCCTAAAAAACTTGCTGAAAATAGAATCTCTATCTTAGGAACATATGGAAAATGACTAAAATATACTTTTATTTTCTATAAACATTTTTCTGAATACCCTGGAATTCTCTATAATAGCAACTGACTACCCTTGTATTGGTTGCACGATTGCACAACTGTCAGGGTGCTTTCATATTTATTGTTCCTATTGAAAACCTTAAGATACAATATGAAAAATCACACTGAACTTGAACTATCGTATGTTTGGAACAGAGGAGGATGCTTTCATGGAGCTATTGAAGTTTATGTACTGTGGGATGCTATCAACAAGTGCTACTCCAGCGTTGTTGCGGGATTTGTTGGTGGTTGCTGACAAATTCGGGGTTGCTTCCTGTGTGTGTCACTGTTGCGCTTTGCTGGGTAGTCTTCCCATGACTCAAGATTGTGCCTTACAATATCTTGAGCAGCCTTATATAATGATAGATGGAATACGACCTCTTGTTGTTGCGGCAAAGCAGTATCTTGCCAAAACATACCAAGATTTATTTGTGTAAGCTCTTTCTTGAAATGCCTGTATGTTTAATTAGTTGTTGCACTAGTTGCACTGTTTATTTTCTTACCACTGAATATACATGAACATCCATTCTTTGGGATTGGGGATGCTGTACAACACATTGATAAACCGCGTTTCTTGGAATTCTTTGCTGAAACATTTTACTTGTTTCATAGTGTCACAAACTTTTGGAGAAGTCATCAGGAATAAACAAAACATAAAAAGTAAAAAATGTAAAAGTGATTGATTTAAAAAATTCAATTAGTTACACTGTTTATTCTTATTGCTAATCGTACCCATTGTACATCTCGATGTATCTCAATTGAGCTTTTCACCCCATATTGATTATGAATTTCTACACAACGCTTAATTGTCATGGTGATTAATTGATTGGGCCCAAGATATTATATTCGTGGAATTTATATATCAATTAATGACTTCCAATTGATTTTAGCATAGTCGTGAGGAATCTACAGCTAGCCACTGATTAATCACTTCACTTCCACAATTCCAATTTCTTCGATTAATTCTTTTAACTTTTTTGTAGTTTGCAGGAGTTAAATGATTGAACTACGATTTTGAAACTAACAACCCGCATATTCCTATTGGCTGAGGTAACCCACAAGTGACACTAGATGAATGAAAGTAATAGGCAAGTAGTTAGAAGGAACTCTTACAGGAAAAGGCTTGAAGGAAGGATTAGTGGCTATCTTCATTTTTGGGGAGATAATATAAGGCATAGGTCTGTCAGGTCCTCCTGGAGCAGATCTGTAATTTCAATATATCTTTGAACTGCTTAGTCATTAAACCTGGCAGCTTAGGTTCATGATAGTCGTGTCTAAGGGGTCTGCCAGATCCAGTAGAATAGGCTTTCTACAATCCTTGCTTCCTTCCCCTTGCATCTTTTGATGAGGAAGCAATGTGCTTGCCGTATCAGGATGTATTTGATGAATGGGTCCTCTACAGAGGGGATCTATTTCTAACTACGCTGACCCAATTTTAAATGATAAATATAATATGAACTGCCTGACTGATGAAAAGGAGGATGTGCTTGTGCCATTGGACTCTGGATCGGAGTCTATAGTGTTCCATCCTTGAGTTTATGAACGGTGTTCAGTCTATAGGAAAAATAATTATGTTAAGGTTAATCATTTTGTACTCTTTTGAAGGACATTTTTGAATTGTTGGAGAGTGGAAGATTAAAACTCTAATTTGCTGCTGAAGATAAGGGTTTTAGTGAAAGGACATAATTTCTCTATTACAATTAGAAGGGACTCGATCCGTTTTAACATTTGCTTAGAAACACTAAAAAATAAAAAATTAGGAAAGATTCGAAGCAATCTGCAGATAGTCAACATTTCTCAAAACAATCTGGAGGTTATAAGATGAATTGTCATTTATCTTGAAATAGAGATAGATAATATGTGTAAAATATGAACCTGTGTATATGAAAGTTGATCATCTAATTGTCTACCCTTGATTATAAGATGAAATTTCATGGATGGTGAGGATTGTCTTTAACTTGATTTATCCATTGATCGAGTTCCAAATTTATGAAATGTTAATGCTTGTTCATTTGTGTATTGAAAGGTAATGTCCTTTGATGCAGGTTTCATGACGAGCTGATGGCTTTGCCTCTGTCTGGCATCGAGGCAGTGCTCTCAAGCGACGAGCTGCATGTGGGATTGGAGGATGCTGTATTTGATTTTGCGCTCGAGTGGGCACATGCTAATTACCCCAATCTCGAGGAGCGGCGTGAGATGTTGGGTTCACATATTTTCCCAGCCATACGCTTTTCTCACATGTCGACCCACAAGCTCAAGGTGGTTTTCAAATGTGAAGACATAGACCCTAGCCTCGCATTGAAATTAGTGGCAAGGGCCTTTTTTGTCAAGGCAGAGGAGGCTGAACTCAAGCATTGTGGGACTGACTGTACATACAAGCGCCCTCCACTAAAGGTGATACAGTTGGTGGGAAACCATGCCAAGTGCCTGGCATTCTTGGATCTTCAACGAGAGGAGTGTGCTGCCCTCTTTCCTACAGGATACATGAAATCGCAGTTGTTCTACCTTAATGGCAATGCCTTCTACCTCCGTGTTCGATGCATAAAAAGTGAGGGAAGCTCCTCCCATTCCTTTGGTCTTTACCTTGGGATGGAAGATGTGTCGGACAGTGTTGTCACCCAGTACATGTTTGCATCTAGATCAAAGCCAAATAAGAAATTTAAAACCACTCCGATGATGAAGTATACATTTGACAAAGGGAACACATGTGGGTATGGGGTGGCCAACCTCTTCAACACTCCATGGACCTCATTCATCGCTGATGACAGCCCCCACTTCTTGAATGGTTTGCTTCACTTGCGTGCTGAGGTAACCATCATGACACAATGATTTCGATTTTTGAATATCGTCCATAGATTGAACCCATCATGCCATAATGACATGTTTCTCGCACGCTTCATGGACTGCAGTACACTAGGGCTTTCTGTTCTTTTTCTTTTTGGTAAATTGAAAGGGGCATCACCCCTCACAAGACGGTTCATACATGAAGCATCCAAATATGAGACATTGTGCTCCAAGAAGAAAGCCAGATCTGAAAAATTTAAAGCATTCAACTTCGAACTTAACCAATGCATTACAGTGTGTTGACTTTGTTCAAGGATAAGCTTGCAAATGAATTTTAGAAACTGTTTACATTTCTTCTAATAAACTTCGAATTTCCCAAACGTTGACCTATGTATTATTGTGCAAGAAGGGAGAGAACATTATTGTGCTCCATTGACTCACATAAATGGAGATCATCAGACAATACTCTTAAGACCTGGTGTGTTGGTTTAATCGAAAAGCAGGGCAATTCGGTGTTTTGGCTGATTTGGAGGAAGACTTAAGAGTTTTTTTTGCAAAATTTTGATATAAATAAAATAAATTCTTGTATTTTCATAATAAATTTTTGTAAAATAAAAAATATAAAATAAAAAATATAATTAGAAAAAGACAATCTTGTGCTTCAACTGAAGAGGTCAAATTGGACCGGGCAAAAGCGGCCCGAAGCAGATGCCCCTGAGCTTCCCTTCGCTTCGTTTTAGGCCAAATATCCGACGACTTCGACCCCTTCGCTGAAGCCAAGCGAATTTGATGACATTGATGTTGGGTTGTGGGCTCCAACTTCAGTATCGAGATCGATTACATTAGTTTTGTTATACAAATAAAGAAGGGTTACAACCTGAATTTTGTGCAAAAAGTAAGATCTAGCTCCATGTTGAGGTTGTCTTCTATATAGGCCCTAAAAAGTAAGCAACATTCCTATTAAGTTAGATAAACTCCGAAAATCTTAAATGCCATTGGTATTATCTTTTTTTATTTTTTATATTCAGTGAACCAAATTGGACATTTGCTCTCGATACCTTGGATTTGAGAGCTAACAATTTGGACTCCGGCTCTGGTTAATTACTTAAAAGTACTCTTAAATTAAGAATTACTAAGGTATTAATTGCTCAAAAATGCAGGCCATTTAGAGATTACACAGTAAAAATAGTATCTCAATAACCTATTTAGACATGGATGTGGTCTGCTGATCTTAATTAGTTGGGGAAAGGATGGGATGATGATGAGATATGGATGTGGTTTACATAAGGTTATTAGAATTTTACAAGAAAAATTCGAATGTCATATACTATCTATTTTAATTGGATGTTGTAGATTTGATGAGTCATTTGTGATAGTACAAAAAAGTAACTCGTTTTTTGAGTTGTATACAATGAGATTATTTACTTAGATGCAAGGAGATTATAATTACTCTCGGCTATTGAATTTGAAATCCAATAGCTTAAAATGTGCCGCAACATTTGAGAAATTTTATTTTCGAGTTTCTGCCTACCATTGTCAGATTTCCATCCACCTGATTTCATATCTAACAACCAACAACAATTGTGACCTTGTACCCAAGGTAGATAGTCTCCTAACATACATTTCCGTCTTTTAATATAGTATCAAATTTACAACATTCAATTAAAATGAAAAATGAAAACTTTCTACCAGTAAACTTGCAACTTTTCACTTTTCGATGTTATCATTACTTTATTTGTAAAGTAAGAGTGAAGTGGTTTTAATTGTAGGTATTGCTTTCCTTTAGGCCTGTTTGGTTCCTTAGAAATAGAATTCTTGGAGTGATATTTCCAAGGAAACAACCCAAACTAACGTGTTTGGTTCCTTCTAAAGACATAATTAACATTTCCAGTGTGGGAGTTCTATATCCTCATTTTAAACCAAATTTTTGAAAATGTATTAATTCAACCCACCTCATTTTAAACGAAATTTTAGAAAATGTATTAATTAAACCCAAATGGGTCGTGGAAATCAAAAGTTAAACGCAAATGCCCGAATGTTATTATTGATGTTATGGATATTATTAATATCGCTACTTCTACTACTGTTATTAATGTTATTGTATCTTAATATTAATATTATATCATAGTATTGAAATATTTATATTTTATTATAATATTTTTACAATGCTATATTATTTTAAAAGCGATTAAAGATAATATATTATTATATACTTATTATAATTAGCCAATCTCAATTAATTAGGATAAGGTTTGGATGATGATGTTGATAATTATTATAATTATGATACGATATTATATTATATTATAATAATAATATTTATTATTATTATTATTATTATTATTATATTATAATAATATTATTAACCCTCTAATTCTAATTGCTGTGACACTTCAAAGCAAAGCCCTCTAGTGCTTGTGTGTGCATAGCTTCTAAAGTGCAAGTATAATATTAATAATAATTAATACTATTATATTATAGTTATATTAGTATACTATAATTATCCTATAAACTCGGCAATTTTGAAATGTCGCAATTTATACCTCGTGTGGACAAACGCTTAAAAGTACTTAAATGATTCTTGAGTACAACAATCACAATAATGAGAATGCTCATTTTTTTAATACATTTTTAGGCAATCCAAACAGTGAAGATACATCTTCCAAGTCTTTGTCAAATGTTATCCAAATAGCATGTGCCAATCTTCCAAAAAAATGTCAATTCCAAGAGATACCAATCCGATACACATTTCTCTAGGAGTCCCATTTTCTGAGAACTAAACTGAGCATTAAGTGAATTCTCCACTATTCCAAAAGTAATTCTATATGTATAACATTTTTAAGACAAAAGATTCCTAATTTTACGAATAACATTGATTATTTATTTCCACGCGGAAGTATAGAATATATTTTCTACTAGTAGAAGTATAGCATATATATTTTATCAAAAGTAAAGAAGTACAAAATGATGTAGGACACGGCATAGACAAAGCATACCCAAAGAAAAACAACAAAAATAATTGAGAAGTAAAAGTGAACTGCAAGTCCTCAGTTGTCTTTATAACAGAGTTAATGATGAATTTATAAGAAAATTGGCTGAGTTACTTAACTTGCTGGAAAAGGGGAAGCTCTTTCAAGGCAATGGAAAAGGTGAAACTCTTTCAAGGTTACGACGATGAAATGGTGTGGGAAATTGAGAGTGATGGATGTTTCTTGGTGAAATCTGCCTATAACTTATTGTTTCATAATAGGATATGATGGAATAGGTGTGCTTTATGAAAGATTTGGTCTTGGCATGTCCCTCAAAAAGTCAAAGTATTCCTTTGAGTTTTGTTTCAAAGTAAGACGTTGACAATATATATTCTCATGAAAAGGGGAAGAATCCTTGCTAATGTGTTTTTGTTGTGTAAGGAGAGTGATGAAAGTGGAGACTAATCCTCAAAGCCATGTTAATATAAATGAACATATGTCCTTTGATGGACTACCTAAGGTTCGATCATTGATTTTTCAGATTGGGAGGGCAGCTGTCTTATGGGAGGTTTGTTTAGAGAGGAATATGAGAGTTTTTGAAGGGGTATTCATGGTGACAGAGATGATTCAGAAACGTATTCAGCATACCCTTTGGAGATGGTTTTCGGTTATAAAAGAGGGAAGGGATTAAGAGTCTTCAAGGTAGATATGGAAGTGAATATTATAAACATAATGTAGTAGAATGTAGTAAAGGTGAGACCTAAAGGACGATGAAGGTAGTTTTAAGCTTAATTGTGATAGGAGCTCGTTTGGGAATCCAAGACCAGTGGGAGTGGGGGGTATTGTGAGGGATTGGTGTGGTGCAATGATGAAAAGACGGCAAATGAAGCAAAAATGTTAGCAATTTTACAAGACCTTAAAATTATCGAGTGAAATATCCATGTACCATGTGTTGTTGAAGGCGATTCTTTGAATGCAATCAATTGGTGTAATGCTACTTTAAAAACACTGCAGAGATTAAGATCAATTTGGTTGGAGATCATGGACTTAATGCGTGGACGGTCTATCTCGTTTAGACATATCATTAGAGAGGGAAACAAGGCTGACATATTCTTTAGCTAAGAGAGGTGTTTTCTTTCAACCGTTGATTGTATCGGATAGTCTTATTGCTTGATTACCTTGTCATAATTTACGATCAATAAAATTATAGAATATTGTCAAAAAAAAACAAAAACAAAAAAAAACCCCTCTTTGTTAAGGCTCAAGGCGTCCTTGTGTTTCATAAACTCAATATACAAATATTGCCAAAAATAAAGGAAATAAAGTTCCTAATGCCCATATATAACGGTGAACTTACTCCTAGTTGAATGCTCATAGCAAAGATCTAAATTTCATAGGGTCCCATTTGGTTCCCTAGAAATGGGACTATGAAGACTTATTTTCGCGGATACAAGGCATTTTTGCAGTTTGGATGCAATTTGGAGATGAGATTTCGGTCTCCTCATGGATATCTGCATCACATTTTGAGGCCAGAACGTAAACATGTGTATTCAATTAAAGCAATAATATTAGAATCAATAGATATTAATCTATATAAAATAATTAATTATGTATTATAAATAATATAATATAATTATAGTTAGGCTATAATTACATGTGATAATTATAATTATACTTAATTATATATTATAATATATAATTAATATGTATTACTTATACAATAATTAATATATATTACATTACAATATATAACAATCTATAATATCACAATATATAAATATGGTAATGCAATATTCTAATACTATATAAGATTATATGAATAATATCATTCTAATACAATAATATCAATAAAATCCAAATAGTGGACATGCATCTTCTAGGTCTCTTATTAGATGCCATCGAAATATAACGTATGCATATCCATGAGATGCTAAATTCAGGATATACCAATTCGAAGAGAGGCACTTCCCCATAACACTCATTCTTAGGGAATCAAATGATGCTTAAAAGTCTCAAGTATCATAAAATTTCCCATATCTACCTCTAGCAAAAGAAAAAACTTAGAAAACTTTAGGTTCTTATTAGATTTAGAGAAGATAAAAAGCTGAGGAACAATCTAAAAAGAAAAACAATCTCGATCAATTCTCATTGAAAAAGGAATGAAACCCTAAAATGGTTTATATACAAATACATATTTAATGTAGACCACATTATCCCTACACAAATACACAATGATACTGAAAGTTATATACATATGTTATACCCCACCTCAAGTTGATGCGGACATGAGCAAAGCATTAGCTTGCCCAATA